TTAATTATTAATTATTAATTATTATTATCACCAATTTTTAATTATCGATTATTGTTAACTATTTATTGTTATTATTATTAATTGTTATTATCGCTATTACTACTGCTGCTATCACTACTACTATTACAATTATTGTTAACGATAATAATATAGTTGTCGTTATTAATTATTACTAATCTGTTACTGTCATACCTATAAAATACTATTGTGAGATGTGTGTTGTTTTGATTCATAAATAATTATGAAAACTTCGAATGTCACAGAAACAAAATGAAACATTTCGAAATTGATCAAATCTTTGGAAAATAAATCTTTTTTTCGTATGAATAAGCCTAGAATTCGTTTTATGAAATGTTTAATTTTATCATATTTTGAAGCACTAATTTGTTCTAAAAAATGAAAAAGAGTTTAATATGGATTTTCTTGAGTTTCCGAAATTCTGAATAATTTTCAGAATTCGATATGCAATTCTGCCGATATTTTGGAACGGCGGAATCTTCCACTGTTGGCGAAAACTGTCCTGGCTCTCAATAAATTCAGTCCATTGAATGTCATTGGACGAACAATAACAACAACGACAGCAACTGCTACCACTACAACATCAACAACAACAAAAACAACGACAAAAGCGACAGCAACAGCAACTCAGACTAACGTTTGACATCTAACAAATTTTGTTCAAAGTTGTTAAGAAGTCGGAGTTGTTCATTTTAAAAAATCATTTTGGGCGGTATTTGTTTGTTTGTTTCCGAATTCATTGAAATTATTAGTTATTAAATTTGTTTGCTTAGTTATGCATTATATTATGAATTGAAATATAGAAATTACTGTATTTTCCATTGCTTTTGCAAATTACCCTTTTTTTATTCAATTTCATTAAAAATAAGCATATATTTGAGCTTCATAATGAATTTTTGGATAATTTGTTCTTGAAATAGAAATGAAATGCTTTTGAAAATTTAAGAAAAAGTTTTAAGTATTTTTCAAACATCAAAAACAATCTGGATATTATTTGAAGGATGGTTTATGAACTATAGATGCTTAGATAATTAATTAAATCATTTGTTACTTAAAATTCAACAGTTTTTCATTTGAAAGGCAGATTTATTTGTTGCAATTTAGTTTTCATCAAAACTGCTATCAATTTATAGTTGTTTCGAGTAGTTGATAGATGAAGCATTTTCATCTATCAAGTTATCCTCTTCCGATTCCCCATTAGCTTCAATATTGTTAATGTTCAAAATATGCTTCCGTTGTTTACGTATTACGGTATACGTATACATTGCGTTTTAAACACGTTGTATACGTAATAACATGCCTTGCATTAATATGCTCATATTTATTCATTAATTGTTTGTTCCTTTTCCTCCTTTTTTTAATGAGTCAAACTTAATTTTTTTATTGAACGCGTCATTATGCTCAAAATTGTTTTGCATAGGATGGTCACCTTAATTACATGTACTAATTAGTCATCACTTAAATTTACTAATTAGTTATCACTTAAAACTTTTGCATCTTTTATTCAATTTGAAAAAATTCAAAATGCAAAAGCTCATGTTAATCACGTAAGCATTACGCTGTGAGTTATTATTTGACACATTTAACACTTCGCTAATCAAAACCTTTTAGTAAATATTCATACTATAAGACAGTTTACATTTAATATTAGTATGAAAATTTGCATATTACAACTTCATCGTATTAGTGCTTTCCTCCTTTTCTTTTGCTAGTTAAACAAAGCAATAATTTAATTTTTGGAATTCATTATGTTATCACTTCATAACAGCAAGTAAACATTTTGTCTGAAAGGTCAAAGCAGAAGAAAAAAATTACGCATATTATATATATATATATATATATATCTAAATTTAGTTCTT